CAAACCTTGAAATCACGAGAATGCAGTCTGTGTGCTAGCTGGATTGCCTTGTTCCAAACGATGCTTTCCACCATGGGGAACTCATCGCGCTTTTCCCTCGTAGCAGTAAACCAAGCCAAAGTCGCCTCATTCACTGTCTTGAACTTTTCGTTGGTTTTCAGATGGCACCTTTCCTGAAATAATCCAGTGTTCACTAATTTTCCGATAACCGTTCGATAGGATGTAACACTGAAAACAGTTTTCCTTGGAATACCAAGTGATTTGGCAAGGTAGCTCTGAGTTGCATCTGACCGATTCAGCATTTCCAACACATTCTGATTGATAAGCGCTTGCACAATTTGAAGCCAAGTGACACTACCTTCGATTGTTGGCATCGGTGTCTTGTTCGCAAGGATTATCCATTTAGTGAACAGTGTTATGTTCGCGTCACACGCCTAACCTATCGGGGCCTTATGTGGTTCGCCACTCCAAGTCCCGGGGCTTTGGTTACTGGTTTCCATCACTGAACAGCAGGTCCTCTTGACTATGGGGTTTACTCCGTCTGCTGTTCAACACACGAAATTGTGTAATAAAAAAACTAGGTGAGACGCCATTGGCTGAGTGTGACATATCAGGGCGGATAATCAATGGCCGTCCCACACATTGATCAACGACCAAGTGAGTAGTTATCGGGAAGTGCGACACACTGAGGGTGGCGACATTGCACAGTCAGAACCTACTTTATTACGCATACGGGTTGTTTGGTTTTCGAAAAAATGGAAAGATACTGATTGGAAAATGCGACGTAGCAGGAGACTGACTGCACTAATTTTCAAGCCCAAACATTTTTTACTTTACTTTCACTTATAAGCGGCCCTCTCCTACACGAGTAAAATTAACTTCAGGGAGGAACCTCTGAAGTTTTCGGGGACTTCAATGACATTTTCAGTACCGCTTGACCCTTTTGTTCGAGACATTACTTCTGACAGTTGCTCAACCAGTATGGAAACAGATTGATAGGGACGGTATTGTTTAGTTGTAGGCCAGATTGATTTACATCCTGACGCATCCTACGGAGGAGAGATTTCTTTTCAGAGAGATCGCTTAATGGGTAAAACGCTCCACATCCTGTTGCTGTTTGTGAAACACTTTCAACTTAGGGTTAATCGTTTGACTGACCGTACTCTGGACGAGGTCTGCACACGCATCTGGTAGCATACAGCTTCGCTCGGCGTGGACTTGTAATGTCTCTCTTCCAACGGGAAAGTTGTCAGTGGAGACATTATATGACAGTGAAGACGAATATCTCAACATGAAGCTGAACAAGTCGATCAAATTTAACTTCAGTTGTTTTGGCTCAACTATCGGTGACAAAAACGTTTACGAAGTCACGTGATTACGAAAGTAGTAGTGCCCCATGTAGAAAGGTTCCTTCAAATGAAAAAAGTAATCGAAATCGGTCGCCACTGAAGACTAGTATAGTCCTGAAAGTGAATTAGAAACTAAAATAGCCATCGCAATTTAGACTTACCGAGTTTGTCGTCTTAGTGAAATCATGAAGTTTTGCAATGAAAAGGGAATCATCATTATCTTCCCACTGTACTTGGCCCTCCTCTCCGGGGTTCGTTGACTCTATCACACGAGTATTCCATCCTGCCGTACGAAGTAAGTGAGTAGCCCGATTGACCAGCCACTGCGGTACGACCACATCATCGGAATATCTGTCAACCTCCAATGGCTTTATACCTGAGATCAGGAAAAGGAAGCAGATAATAATGCGGGGCAATACAGGTCATCTTATTTGAGTATTGCCTGTCAAAAACGGCATTGTCAACAGAGGTGATAATAATTTGACGCTTGGTCTACTGCAACCAACCTTTCATGAGACCAATTTTTAGTTAAATGATTCAGGAATGATATTGAACCCACAAATACCTTGTGTACGTGTGTATTCGTCAGCGATCGGGCGTCGCGCACATACGTTCCATCACAAACACCTGTGGGGATGGGGTTATTAGAGGTTAAACTAACATTGGGCCATGGCCGAGGCGATCGCCATTCGCTTACTAGGCTCTAACCTATGTACCCAAAAACGACCGGTGCTGGCGCTCCCATTGCCTTGGCCGGGTGTGAAAACCAAAACAGAACATGACGTGTCACTCGACTCAGATAGGGAAAGGTCACATCAACTACTTACTTTACGGCGGCTGGCTCCTGGGAGAGGATAAGCCGGCTTCATGGATATCTCGAATTGCCGCTG